CGGGGCCGGTCACCGCCGCCGGCCCGGCCCGGGGGAGCTGCCGCCGCCGCGGGGAGCGGGGCGAGGCTGCGGGCGGGCAGGGCGGCTCTGGGGAGCGCAGGCAGCTGTCAAAGTGCCGGCCCGTAATCCGCTCAGCATCGCTGTGAGGAGATTGGGGCTGGGGTTTAGCGGCGGGGCGCGGTGCCGGGGCGGTGTGCGGGGGGAGCTGCCGCGGCTGCTCCCTGCGGGCACCGAGCTGCCGGTGCGGGACCCAGCGCCCTCAGCTCCCCTGGGCTGGGCTGGGCTGGAGGGGCCCCGGCGAGCCCGCCCGCGGGGGCAGAGCGGGAGCGGCCCCGGCTGGCCGGTCCCTCAGCACCAACTGCGGCGTCCCGAGAGCCGCGACTGCAGCGATGTGCGCAAAAACTTTTCAGGAATACAGCCAGCCCGTGCGGAATTCGTCTTTTGAAATAAATACTGAAACTAGGGGGAATGGCTGTGCAGAATTTCCGTGCTTCGAAACAGGGCTTTAAAAGCAAGTAATTCATTAAATCAGCCCTGACTCTTTACCAGCTGTAGAGATATCAGGCACGTACTTTTTGTAGAAGGCATTGGAGATTAGGTTGAGAGGAATAATGCTTGTATAAATTGAGTTCCTGCTTTGTCACAGTTCCTCTAAAATCTCTTTTCCCTTCCAAATGCCAGGGATTAGCACTGTTCTCTGGCAAGAAAACAGAGGGGAGAAGTCCTTTGGCCAACAAAATAGGATATTTGCTTTCTTCAACATCTTTTTGAAGTGAATCTCATATTTGACATTCCTCAGCAAGTGAATGTCCAAGGTCCAAGTCCCTGTCTGTCTGATGGGAGAGAAAGGAGGTGGTATTTCTGCACGAGGTGAGGCAGAGTATGAGACACATCTTTTACACTAAAAGAACATAGGAAGGAAAAGTAAAATGTAACTGTGAGTTAAGGGGCCCCAAATAGTAGGTGTTTACAAGAAATCATTTGTGTAAACGAGACATGATGGGTGATACAAAGCCCAGCAGCTTCTTGCTGAATCCTAACTGGCAGGGTTATCCCAGTGCCCAGCAGGAGGATATCTGTAAGCAGAATTAGTATTAAATAGTTCCCTGATTGGCTGCTTCTGCAAAGGAGCTAAACTGGGAAAGAAGGAGATTAAACTGTCCCCTCACCTCCAGACACCTCTGAGATCATAGCTGGGGTAGATTACCAGCTATGCTCATGCTGCCTGTCTCCCATTATTTGCTTGGGTAAATACAAGCCCTTTCTCCACTGCGGCTGGGGGTGTCTGCTCCCAAATCAAACACTTCTGAGCTGTCTTCAGCTGCAGCATGGCAGTGCTGTAGCATTCACTTTCTACACTTGTTGCCTATCCATCTGTTATGTATTTGCATTCACAGACTTTAAGGGCTCCATTCATTCAACTTTTTGTTTTCTTCTCCGTAAGTGTGGCCAATGAGCTGCTTAACAGAATGCTACCTCTCAGAACAGCACTTGTATTTTGAGAAAACTTCATTTTTGCCTGAGATCCTGCAGCTGGTGGCGAGCATTTGAGTTTTCTCAGCCTGAATAAATCAGAAAAGTCCAGAAAGGCTCATGGCTCTAGTAACTTCAAATAGCAGAAAAAAGCCCCAAAATAATTCTACTACAGGGGCACAAAGAGTTTTTTTAATGAAGATTCAGCTCATCTGTAAGAATTCATTAATCAAATATACTTGCTTTGTTTCTTTCTTATAAAATCAATTCAGAAGAATAAATATTTATTACATTACCAGACTGTTTTCTAAAATGTTATGTGGAATTTATTAGCAAAGAGGCAGGGACCAGTAACTTTGAATATAAAGAAAACCAAAACCAAGAAAAAACAACCTTGAAAAACCTTAAGGCTAACTAGAGGGAAAACACAGTTATACAGGAAAAAAAGTTTGACTCTGGAAAGTCATACTTTTTTTTTTTTTTCCCCTCTGTGTTCAGTTTACCTTATCAGCTTATTAACAGAGGAGAAATGAATCAGTTTTCTCCCACAGCTGTAGTAGTTCTGCAGGGACCTTGGAGATGAAAACTGTTTTCTCTTACCTCAGCCTGTCACTTTCATCTCTTCTCTCAAAAAGCAGAGCTATACTTTCAAAGCAAGGTGTCAGGCTGGAACAGGACAGACATGGTATTTCCCCTTGAATTTTTCACTTTTACAACTGGTATTGAGGCTGTATGTCAAATTATTTAACCTGCATGCATCTTGACAAAAAAGCTGGCGCAGTTAATAGGGTGTAAACTGTTACCTGACTCCTTAAGATGCTGATGCAGCCATTTATTTTGTCACACACAGGTGCCCACCAAGGCTGCTCTGCTTGGGCATGGTCACAGATGTAAAGCAGATGATGTCTGGTTTCTTGGTTCTTTCAGTGACACAGCTTGTATGCGACAAACAGGGCTTCTTGTTACTTGTGCTTCAGTGTGTAAATCAAAACAAAAAAATGTGAGGAAAGGCCATAGAGTAATTATGCAGATTCTTTCCAATTATCCAAAAAAAACCCTGTTTTCATGGCATTTGTAAGAGGACAGCCTCAGCCTTTCATCTAGAAAAGAAACCACTTAATATAATTGAATTTAAATGCTAGTATTTCTAAACTTTGTATCAAAAGCAAAGCAAAACTAAGCTTTGTATCAAAATCTCTAAGCAAATAGCCCAGAATTATGAGTCATTATTATCACCATCCGTAACTCATCAAAATCTATTGCTGGGAATTACCAAGGCAGGAAATTAAAATACTCAGAGCAGATACCTGTGCAGAAAAAGCATCCCTTGAAGAAAACCAATTTTTGGAATGACTATATCATGGGATGCCCCCAGTTTGCCTTGCTAATATTTGTAAGCCATTGCATTTATAAAACATTCTGAAATTAAGATTTAATGAGATTTATATGCAATAATAAAGACAAGAGTAAGATAAATAGTGAGACTCAATGTGTTTCATATCTTCTTCTTAAATTCAACAATTTAACTTAAGGAAAAAATTCAAAACACACTGAAAGCTATTGCCAGTATTCTTAAAAGATGAAATCTAGTCACTTCAAAAGCATTGGTTATAAAATAAAATAAAATAAAATAAAATAAAATAAAATAAAATAAAATAAAATAAAATAAAATAAAATAAAATATGTTTTGTTTTGGTTGTTTCCATTACTGAGGTGTCTAAAATTTCTGAATAACAAGAAGCCTGGTTGTTTAAGGTTTTTTACCCATCTAACATCGAAGCACTCACTTTTGAAATTAAGGGTGTATTTTTCTCTTCCTTAGTTGATCTGCCTGTAAAAATCTCCTAGGTAATCTGAGGCTGAGTGGGCATTTGCTGGTAAGACATTTAGGCTGTTTAGGCACCTTGCTGGTGTATTTCCACCAACTGGCAACTTCAGCCACTTCAGTGATCCAAGGGTTTTACAAACTCTTGGTGGCACACCAGGCAGGTTTTTCACACCCATTGCTTTGTAGGTTTGTGCTGGGAGCAGGTGAAAGGATGGAGCAGCATCTCGTTACCTGTCAGCACCTGCAGTAGCAGCAATACCACAGTGTTAAACATGACAGCCAGCTCACTTACCCCCCTTCTCTCTTCAGCAGCTTGTAAAAACTCTGAGATGCACAGAAGGAGTTTCTGTGGACACTGCAGCTCTCTTTCACAGCATTTTCGCCAGCATCACTAAAGAAAGCACTCAGAGTGCAAGGAAACCTCTCTTGAGCAGCCTCCTACCTTCACCGATGGGAGAGGAGCTGAAGCCCCCAAAAGGCCAGCGTGGGGAGTGGGTTTGGTAGCATGACCTAAGTCAGCATCATCCCAGTGCTGACCTGGTCCATGCCAAAGGCCGCCACAGGTGGTCCATGGAGGAAATGTGGGCACTGAGGGAAACAAGGTGCTAAAAGAGATAAGATACTGCTTTTTACTGACAGCATCCTTTGGAATTTTGGGGAGAGACTTGCAGAATTACTGCCTCCAAGCCTTGCATTGGTCCTCAAATCAGCATCTTCAAAAACTGTCTGCTTGGAGTTAATCTCAAGAGAGTTTATAGGCATGGATGTAAGCAAACTGGTTTCTGGGGTTGCTGAGTTCTTGGCTAGCAGACTAATAAATCCAACCTCTTTTTTATTATGCCTAATAATAATGTATTTTTGATTGGGGTGATTTGCTAGGGCTCTAGCAGGAGTAAGCAGGCTAGCTGCTGTGAGGCATCAAAGTGCAATTAACCTAGTCAAAAACCATCAGGTGGTGTATTATTGGTAAGGTATGTGTGAAAAAGGCATTCAAGGTAAAGAATTAAGCTGAAGAAATTATCAAGAAAATGTTCCCTCCCAACTATAAAGAGCCAAAGAGAGATAGAGTTGTTTTCATATTTACCTGATTCGAGGCGTTGGGGAGAGCATTTATAAACAGATTCAGCAGCACTTGCTAAGACTTCCCCACTTAAAAAGTCCTTTGGAAGTAGAAAGGTTGGAGTCTCAGTTTTCCTAAGCTCTGGCCAAGACTTGATCCTGGTTGATCTGAATAGTAACAGCTGGTAAGGAGCTATGAGTGGAACTTGCAATATGTTTCCTAGAAACCAAAGGCTTGGGCTGAATGATAAGAGCAGAGCCAGAGAATAAAAAATACTAGCAACAATCTTGTTAAATGTTAGTGTTTTCTCAGTTGCTCGTGTTTTCCAGCACTTGCTCAGTCAAATTAAATGCTGCTTAAAGCATCTGTAGTACCAGCTTATTGGTATCTCTGTGCAGTTAATACAATAAAGGGACATAAGGGTATAAATTTAATACCAGTTCATTTAATTTCATTTACTAGCTATGACTGCAAATAATCGATGTTCTGCTTTCAGTATGAACCTGTATTTTGTTTGCACTGAAATCTAAAGCACAGCCCTTTCCAGAAAAGGAAAACTTCCTCAAGGCACGTTCTTG